TCGTTCCCATCAGACACCATCTTTCTTTTTTTGTAGAAAGGTCAATTGAATGACTACATGTATCAGGCACTGATGGGTGACCGTCATGATTTTGTGAAAATATTTTTGGAACAAGGCTTCAGCTTAGAAGAGTTTCTCACCGTCTATATGCTTGAAAAACTTTACACCGATCAACTGAAAAATATGGTTGGTTCTATTGCTATTTATAATTCAAATTTAGAGTTCAAAAGTGGCAATTTTCAACAAAATGTGGGAGTATCATCGATCACATCGGGTTTGTTTTTCCTTTTTCTTTAATGCTTACCGTCAATCTCATTTAATTGAGTAAAGAAATAGGCAATATTTTGACCTTAAACAGGCCTCAAAAGTCACCCTTCGAGATGTTGGCAAAGTTATCAAATCCCTGGTTGGAGATTTCTATCATCCTCTCTATTTAAGCAAGGAATTCCAACAGAAACTTGCACCTGAAAAATCCGACTTAGCTGGTGAGCTTTCTTCCTCTATCTAAGCAATAGATTTTTTAATTTATTTTTGGTATATTTTCCTACGATCCAAATAATATATGTTCATTTTTAACGCATTTTTCTCATATTAGAGGAAGGTAAGTTGGCATTATCAGCGATTGAATGCTTTCTATGTGATTTTGACCTTTGCCTCTTCTGATGAAAGCGAGCCCTCCATTTGCATGAAAGACATGGCATGATTTGACTCAACATCATTCCTCTTAACCGCCAGCCTACTTAAAATGCTACTACAATGATTGTAACTGCAGAGCTTACTAATTTCATTGTCTTTGCTCTTTTAGAAATGCGTAAGTCAAGATGTGCATTTTAACCAACTCATTAGAGGTTTAAAAACCAAGCTTCACTCATCGCCAGCTATTTATTCATATTGCGTTTACTATTTAATACGCTTGGTTGCGCTTCTCACATCTTCTGTCTCTCCCAACTTTTTCTACACTTTTTTGCGTAAATACCTTCATTAACAACTAGTATGTTATACAGATCTTTTGTTTTCACGCTATTCACAAGATTCCTTCTACTCTATACATTTTAAGTTTGCTGATTTGAGAACTTAATCGATTTAATTTTGTTTAATAGAAGAGGGCAATATGGCTGAATGGATTATTTAGCTTTTCTCTAAGGACTGTGGTTAGGGTAGCCTATGTGAATTGTCTGTTTCTAAGATTTTGGTCCATAAGTTATCGTTTGCCGTCTTTAAGTGATATTCACATAATTCCTTGTGAAGATAAAGAAACTCAATATATCTTATTAAAATCTATTTATAGTTTTATGGATGTTGAAATAAAATGGTAATTATGAGGGGCTGATGTAGTAGCCTTGATTAGGGATATTCATCTATGGAGGCTTAATGACGGGTTTCTGGAGTTGAGGTGAAGTATTTGCTCAAAGACACTAAAAGCTGCATCTGAGAAAAAAGCTATTTACACTATCCAGTCAGGTAATCTCTTGTTGTTGCAGTAGAAGAAAACAGTAGTTGGGGATGATTAGAAGAAAAAGGGGAATAAGATCTTATGCTGTAGAAAGAAAGATTGGTAAAGTAGTTATATCAAATGGCAGGCATCTTGATGGTTATTATTAGCCCTATAGTTGACTTCAGGCTTCACAGACGGGATGGAACATCAAGGTGAAAAAAATCGAGAGGGTGGAGGGGGGAACAGAAGAGTGCTTCAAAGATGTAAAAGAGACAAACACAAAGATAGAACAAAGGTGAGGTGAGTACTGTGGAATAGTCGAATATGACATACAGTGGGGTCATGGTAGTTTGAAGTGAGAAGTCAACTGCCAGTTAATAGACTTTTTTGCCGTATGAGTATACGTTGCCCAGGATGCTCCACGTGGAGGTAAGTCTATCGCACACCCCAAAGTTGAGGAGACATGGAGCACCTGGGTATCGATCCCAGCACGATTAAAATAAAGATCTGAGTGATGTTTATAACGAAGTATTACAATTGATTACCTTCATTATACTTTAATTGCGTATCTATTGATTCAAATGCTGCTCGTGTTGTGTAGACAATGAAGTCTTACAGATCACTCACTTGATTTGTCTCGAAGAAAATGATGGGGACGTCACCTCAGTTTACAACCTAAAAGTGTCATAATTCGATTTTCTTGAGACTTCTTCATCCAAATATGCCTATCATTAAATTTGAATTTCGCAACGTGAGCTTCCAATCTGGCTAATATCATACGAACTGAACCGAACATTCAAATTATGAAAGGCTATAATGATTTGACTTTGCTGTCGACAACCTTTTTATTCGCTTCGCCTTTTCTGCTAATCAATTACGATTGCTGCCCACAATCAAAAATTGTAATTTGTTTCCGCAAAGCGTTAAGGAAGTTATTGTGCCAGGGGCATTAGATAACCAAAACAGAAAATTTTGTAGGGACGATTCGTGCTTTTTCCTACTTTAAAGGCCTTTAAACATATTATACTTCAACTTAAATTACAGAATACTAGCATGATCCCTCCGCCCCCTCCCCACACACCCTCCCAAAAGAGGCTATTGAAATAAATATCTTGATTTTTATTCGAATAAATACCACGTCAGTATCATCATCATCATTATCATCATTGGCAACAAATATATGAGAGCAATACATATTCATTGTGAAAATATTGTCAAAACAGTAGTTGCAAGTGGAGGTTGACGTTTTGACCAAATAGGCGTGGACGACGCGAGGGTCAAAAGTAGTGGTAGGACACAATCATCTCATCATCTCATCATAAATGTACAGACGAATCGACAGGTGGGTCCACAAACCCACAGGCGCGTAGATCAGATAAAAATACACTATGGGTGGTGGATGAAAGCATTCAATGGTGTTGTGACATGAGTAAGTGTAGGGGGATTAGAAGACAAGAGGGTGCTAGGATTGGCAGTGGAGGGGGATCTAATAGAGGCAGAAGGTGATGAAGACAGCTGCTGTTGATGCTGGTGGTTACCAGAGCTCAAGCAGCCACCTGGAGGCGATGAATTGGTGATTGACCTCAAGTGCTGGTGGTTGAGGGATGATGTGGAGAGTAAAGAGGAATTGGAGGTATGAGGAAGAACATCCTGTGCAGTAGTTGGAGTCGTTGAATGAAGAGCCGCCGATCGAGCAGCAGCTTCACGAGCCTGATGAGGAAGGAGGTGGGGCTGCTGCAGAGCGTTGGTAGTGGTGCTCAAATTGCAAATCGCCTTTGCCATAACTGAAACACACAAAAAGGTAACTCAATAGAACCTATAACTCTTATTATTATTGCGAAATTGGCTAAATAAACTAAAATAAATTCAAGATATTCAAAGTCCTCACAATACTTGAACTCTGTACTTATGGCGTTAATCACCTTTCGTGAAGAAAATTCTGCCAACTTTCAATTTAGCTGAATTCGACTACCAAACATTTGTCCGATCAAACTGCACCAAATAAATTCTTCTTAATCCGCGATCACATTATTCATTCATTATAATCGATCTACCATCCTAGTTACCCGACACGAATGCTACCACTAACCTCGTATTCCGATCAAAGTCGATGTATGATTAGCTGCTTCAGCACAAACGAATGTCCTCGGGTCAACCCATAGCACACCTGGTAGTATCACAGTCGGGAAAAATAGGTCGCTAGAACCAAGCTAACCATTGCTTTGACAACCACCTGTACCCCGCTTGAAGCCGACATAAAAAGCCTACCTTTTGACTCAGCTGTGCCTGTCTTGATTATATTATAACGAACTATATAATCCATTACATTTGAAGAGACAGCACGATTGGAGACTTACGTTTTCGAAGTTGAGGCAAGTCAC